AACTCTCGGGCTGGGGCAAGTGATGCTCTGTCTACTTGGTGCTTGGGGAGGGGGTCAACAGTGGGAGGGCTTCTAGTGTCCTGGCCCCACTGCTGGACCTCCTGATGGCACCTGGTATTTTGGCCACTGTGGCTTCTCTTATGTTCTTATAAGCCCATTCTTTTTGAACACCCATTCTTTCAGTTCTCATCCTTGGGTTTTATTCCTTAATAAATCATCAGGAATTGAAAATTTCGATTGAACCGAAGCCAAGTAGTTTACTTAATTTACAGATTGTATCCATTTTATTGTCCCTTGCCTGATGTAACTTGAAACCAGCTCTGTTAGAATCTGCTCTTGATGAAAACTAACAGGTCTTAACACCATGGCTTGTGGCATTCCCAAAGCAATTTCTACATGTGTTGGGGTTTTTTGGTTAACATTCAGCCTGAAGAAGAGATCTAGTGAACTCAAAACCTGTTTCGTGTGTCATCAGGTTTCTCTTATAAAAGGTATTAACAGAGATTGTGTTCCTAAACTGTATTGCCACTCACAACACATACCTATGTTGTGTTGTGTCTTATGTTCTTATAAGAGTAATTAACACATGGAATTCATTGCCAAAGGAGGTGGCGGCGGCTACAAGCATGGACGGCTTCAAAAGGGAATTGGATAAGCATATGGAGCAGAGGTCCATCAGTGGCTATTTGCCACAAGGTATAGACAGGGACTCTGGGGCAAGTGATGCTCTGTCTTCTTGGTGCTGGGGGGGGCAACAGTGGGAGGGCTTCTAATGTCCTGGCCCCACTGCTGGACCTCCTGATGGCACCTGGTATTTCTGGCCACTGTGTGATACAGTGTTGGACTGGATGGGCCTTTGGCTTGATCCAACATTGGCCTCTCTTATGTTCTATGTTCTTATAAGAGTGATTAACCTATTCTTTTTAATTTTATGGAACGGTTAAACTTTAGAAACGGAACACTTTTCCCAGATACGTTTTTCCACGTACATATCTGATCCCAAAACTCAGTTTTTAAAATTATTATTAACACTATTAATGCTGTGTCATTTTCAGAAATACATACATTGCAATAAATATTTTTTAAAAATCAGAGACTTCTGTCTACTTTCGAAACCACAAATGTCAACCCACTTAGGAGGAGGGAGTAGTAGTACTGTAGTAGTGGATTTGTACCCCACCCTTCACTCGGAATCTCAGAGCGGCTTACAATCTCTTTCCTCTCCCCACAACAAACACCCTGTGAGGTCGGTGGGGCTGAGAGAGCTGTGAATGTCCCAAGGTAAGAAGAAGAGGAGATTGGATTCATACCCCGCCCTTCACTACCCAAGGGAGTCTCAGAGCGACTTACAAACTCTTTCCCCTTCCCCTCCCCACAACAGACGCCCTGTGAGGTAGGTGGGGCTGAGAGAGCTCTTTTGAGAACTGCTCTTTTTCAAGAACACCTCTGACAGAACAATGGCTTACCCAAGGTCATCCAGCAGGCGCAAGTGGAGGAGTGAGGAATCAAACCCGGTTCTCCCAGATTAGAGTCCGTGTGCACTTAACCACTACACCCAAAGCAAGATGCGGTCAATTTCAGCCTCGTCTTTTCACTAATGCAAAGCTTAAATGGCAAAGTATAGCCCTTGCAGCATTATAAGAGAGCTGCGTAAGGTTTGGGAATGCCAGTAGCTTATCTGTTTTGTGTGTCTACGGTAGTAATACAACTGGCTAGGTGAAAGAGGTGAGCACTGAGCAGACGAGTTTCTACTAATCTGACTTTGTGATTATTTTGTTTCCGAGACGTTCAAGTTTTCGGGAATCAACTGTTCCAGCACATGTGTCATGTGCTCTGGGATAATTGACACAACATTGTCGGGTAATTTGAACTGCAACAAGTTTTGCTTCTGTCTGCCAAGAAGTGTGAGGTATGAGTTCTGTAAAATAAATAAATAAATGCTTAAATCATGGGTGTGTCTGCATAGGAAAGCAAGCGCGCTTACGACTTTCTTTCTCTTTTTGCACCAGCAAGCATAGGAAGTTCAGTTTTCATACGAAGGGTACTGTTTCATTCAACTGTCTTACAAAAACGTACAACTTCCAGGACTGTACTATGTGGATGTTCCTCAGTGTGGGCCCAGATGTTAGAGTAGGCAGCCAGGATGGATTATAGGCAGGGGTCATTTCCTGCAGGAGCGCATAGGAGCGGAGCTCCAGAAGTAAAGAGCCCAGGGGGCGGGCACATGCAAGAAGCCCCACCCCCTGCTCCCAGCAGCCCTCAGTCAGAGCAAGAAGCAGCCAAATAAGTTGCAGAGCCCCCCTCCGCCCCCCCGGTCCAAAACAGTCCAGTGGCATCTTTAAGACCAAGTTTTATTCAGGTATAAGCTCTCCCTCCCCTGTGAGGACAGATCTGCATGTCCCCCCCCCAATAGCTAGGAATCCAAAACAGTCCAGTGAAGCCTGAGCGATGGGTGTTGCCTTCTGACACACTTCCGGTGATGTCAGGGGGTGTGGCATATGCAAATAAGTTATGAGTTATGCTAATGAGCTCCTGCACCGCTTTTTCTACGAAATGACCCCTGATTATAGGACATAGGTTACCCAGTTGGTGTTGGGTAATTTAATGCAGCATCTCACTCAAACACTTGGCGGAAGAGCTCCGTCTCGCAGGCCCTCCGGAATTGTGATAAGTCCTGTGTGTTACCTCAACAAGCAGCTAATTTCTGCAACTGAGGTTCTGTTAAACCCCTAAAGGTTCCAAGACTTCATTAACAGCTCACCTCTCACAACAGAGGAGGGTTTTGGCTACACGAACTGTGCAGACAGAACTTGAGGCCCTACAATGAACTGCCGTTTAAATCCCACCCAAACCCCCTTCTCATCAAAATAGGTAAAAGATTTCAATTGGTGGAGGGTATTCTGACAAAATCTGCTCCCTATCACACAAACGTCTTGCTCAACATGAACTGTGCCACATGAGGGCAGTGAGAAAAGGGCACCGGTCCCCTACAGGACAAGAGTCAACCAGCCAATCCAATACGTGGTTCATTAGATGACAGAGTTGGGCCGGAAAACAGCTGACCTGCTAGCTTAGTGCGCCTTCTTAATGTTCAACAAGTGACTTTGGCCCTCTGTCCTTACTTGTGCCTGAAACTCTTGCACTCGTTTTATAAACTGAAATGCTTCTCAAGCTTTGCAAAGAATTACAGAGGGCAATCAAAATTGTGGGGAGTCTTTGTGTTGGGTCTTCGGTTGTGACAGCACCCCGTAAAAGGAGAACTACATACACGCCCCTGAGCTCCTTGGAAGAACTGTGGGACGGGAACATACCAAAAAGTTAAGTAACTATGCATAGACGTGGTGCAGCCATTTCACCGCAACACTGAAGAATACTTCTCTACCTGATGTGCGAGGTTTTTTTAAAAAAAATCTAAAAACCCAATCATAAGACAAAACTATATCCCATACAGCGTAAATGTTACTCATCTGCAATTCTACAGAGCAGTCTTTTAATAACAATTTTGAAGTGTCAGTTAACATTTTTCCAGACAGTCAGCGATTTAAAGGGAAGCAGGGGGGAAACTGAAGCAGTTCATCATACCAGTGATCATGCCTTGTCACTAGCCAGCTACTCAGCAATAGCCACGTGACATTATACCGAACTTTTTTCATCCACTGATAGGCAAAAGGTGTAATCTTGCTTGGCGGATGTGGACACGCCAAGTGTCCAATTACCAAAGTTCCACTCCACCAGACAATCAGAAACTTCACAGCCTAACATTGACCACCTTAGCCAGATCGAACTGGTTACGCTGATCAGACCTTTTACCAATTGCATATTTTTAAGGAAAGATACAGCTGAAATCCAGCTTGTAATTCTACTCCTCACTAAAAACACCTGGAAACAAACAGGAAAAGATGGATCACTGCTACTATACGGCGTTAAGGAAAGAGGCCCTTGAACGAGTCCCACCCCGTTTTCAGAAAACGCATCTCCACCCTCCAGCCAAGCAGCCTTTGCAAGCGCTTCGCTCAGAAGGCCAAGTTCCACCCAGCGCGTCACAAGCAGTGTTCCCTCTAAGCTGAGTTAGTGTGAGCTAGCTCACAGTTTTGTAGCTTCCAGCTCAGACATCTTTGTCTTAGCTCGGGAAGGAGGGCTCCAGAGCAAACGAAATGATGCAGTAGCCAAATCGCTCGCTCACAGGCAGGGTTCCCTCTAAGCTGAGTCAGTGTGAGCTAGCTCACAGTTTTGTAGCTTCCAGCTCAGACATCTTTGTCTTAGTTCAGGAAGGAGGGCTCCAGAGCAAACGAAATGATGCAGGAGCCAAATCGCTCGCTCACAGTGCAGGGTTCCCTCTAAGCTGAGTCAGTGTGAGCTAGCTCACAGTTTTTGAGCCTCCTGCTCACACATTTTTGTCTTGGCTCAGGAAGGGATGGCTCCAGAGCAAACTCATTGATGCAGTGGCCAAATCGCTCGCTCACAACTTTAGTGCCAGTAGCTCACAAAGTAGAATTTTTGCTCACAAGACTCCACAGCTTAGAGGGAACATTGCTCACAGGCCAGTAGCTCACGAAGTAGAATTTCTGCTCACAAGGCTCGACAGCTTAGAGGGAGCACTGGTCCCTCTAAGCTGAGTTAGTGTGAGCTAGCTCACAGTTTTTTAGCCTCCAGCTCACAGATTTTTGTCTCAGCTCAGGAAGGAGGGCTCCAGAGCAATCTAATTTATGCAGTAGCCAAATCGTTCGCTCACAATTTTAATGCCAGTAGCTCACAAATTAGAATTTCTGCTCACAAGGCTCCACAGCTTAGAGGGAGCACTGGTCACAAGCAGGCAGGATCCTGCGGGACTTTAACTTCAGTTGCCCTTTCCACGGCTCCCAAAGGGACTTAAACGGCAGCCACATGCTATCGGGCGTGCATAGAACCACATGCAAGCCAAGGTGCATAGAACCACACTATTTACTACCACCCACCCACCCTCCTCCCCGCAAGGTTCGCAGCCAGCCCCGCGCACTCGCCTCCTCCAAGAACTTGGTGAGGTCATACACGCGGCGGTGCAGGATGATCCAAGTCGACTGGCCGGTCTTGTGCTGCTCGATCTCCTCGAGCTTGTAATAGCGACCCCGCCAACACTCCTTCCCGGACTTGGCGCTGCTGGCCTCCGACATCTTCGGCGCCTCGCCCCGGACCTCGCCCGCCAGCCCCGGACCAAGCGCAGCCCGCTTAGAACTCTGACCCAGGAGACGCGTCGCCTCCGCCCGCTCCCTCCCGCACGCCGATTGGGTCCCCCGCTGGGCAGTCCCGCCCACGGCCCCGCCTCTCTGGGTTCTCATTGGCCGGCTACGTTGTCCGAAAGGCTGGCTGGCTGGCTGGCTTGTTTGTTCTTTCCTTCTCCCGCGATTCCAAGAAGCGGGGCGTCCTGCTGTCTTTTCGACTGGGAAAAAAGGGGGAAAGGGGGGCGGGGAGATGCAGGTTGGCGTAGGCAGCTGAAAAACAGTCAGGTGACGGTGTTTGGTGTAGAGAGCCAGTTTGGTGTAGTGCTGAAGTGCGCGGACTCTAATCTGGGAGAACCGGGTTCGATTCCCCACGCCTCCACTTGCACCTGCTGGATGACCTTGGGCAAGCCACAGTTCTGACAAGAGCTGTTCTGTGAAAAAGAGCAGAGCCCCACCTACCTCACAGGCAATGTTCCCTCTAAGCTTTGGAGTCCCGTGAGCAATTATTCTGTTTTGTGAGCTGCTGGCATTAAAGCTGTGAGCGAGCAATTTGGCTACTGCATAAATTAGTTGGCTCTGGAGCCATCCTCCCTGAGCGAAGACAGAAATGTGTGAGCCAGAGGCTAAAAAACTGTGAGCTAGCTCACACTAACTCACCTTAGAGGGAACACTGCTCACAGGGTGTCTGTTGTGGGGAGGGGAAGGGAAAGGAGTTTGCAAGCCACTCTGAGACTCCCTTGGGTAGTGGAGGGCAGGGTTATCCTCCTCCTCTCCCTCCTCCTCCTCCTCCTCTTCTTCTCCTTCTTCTTCTAAGTGAGTCATAGACTGGCCGCTGTTGTAACAGCAAAAGCCCGGTAATGCCTTTGATTAAGATCCGCCAAAATGTGCTGGTCTCAGTCCAAGGTAGTAATTTTTTGCTGCTGCTGAGGGCGTGGGTTTGCACCAACCTGGCTACAGGGATCTACTTTTATTTCAACGTTATCTCTAGTCTTTTTAGTCTCTTGCAATAAAAACAATCTCACGGGACTTCGAAGTAACTGATTTATTGCGGCAGAAGCTAGTGGGATGAAGTTGATTGACGTTCCAGTGGGATAGCCTCCTTAACCTGCAACGATAGAAATAGAAAGGCGTCTTAAAACAAATCCATTATTGGGATGTACTAAAAGGAAGGACAGGATTGCCCAGAATTGCCCACTGGAAACAATGGGAGAGACTTGAAGGCCCATTGGAAATAATGGGAGCCAGGAATGCCAATTGACTTGCATGGGCTCCATTGAAATAGGTTACAGCTCAAGAAGAGTTGCAAATAAAATGTGGAATGGATTTTCCATTAAGGTCTCTGGTCCCAGATACACTGCTCTAGGACTGGAATGACAGGCCCCAGAGTGGAATGACAGCCCCAGGGAGTAGCAGGTATGTTCTGACGGTGGAAGGATAGGCCCCAGAGTTGAACGACAGGCCCCAGAGTTGAACGACAGCCGGGGGGGGGGTAGCAGGAGTGTTCAGGGACTGGAATGACAGGCCCCACGGTGGAATGACAGCCCCTGAGGGTAGCAGATGTGTTCTGAGGGTGGAATGACAGGCTCCAGAGTGGAATGACAGCCCCTGGGGGTACCAGATGTGTCCTGGGACTGGAATGACAGGCCCAAGAGTGAAATGACAACCCCTGGAGAGTGGGAGATGTGTTCTGAGGGTGGAATGACAGGCCCCAGAGTGGAATGACAGCCCCTGGGGGTAGCAGATGTGTTCTGAGGGTGGAATGACAGGCCCCAGAGTGGAATGACAGCCCTTGGGGGTGGCAGATGTGTCCTGGGACTGGTACGACAGGCCCCACAGTGGAATGACAGCCCCTGGGTATAGCAGGAGTGTTCTGGAACTGGAATAATAGGCTACAGAGTGGAATGATATTCCCTGGGGGTAGCAGGAGTGTTCTGGGAGTGGGATGACAGGCCCCAGAGTGGAATGACAGCCCTTGGGGGTGGCAGATGTGTCCTGGGACTGGTACGACAGGCCCCACAGTGGAATGACAGCCCCTGGACGTGGCAGGAGCGTTCTAGGACTGGAATGACAGGCCCCAGAGTGGAGTGACAGCCCCTGGGGGTAGCAGGACTCTTCTGGGAGTGGAAAGACAGGCCCCAGAGTTGAATGACAACCCTTGGGGGTAGCAGGAGTTTTCTGGAACTGGAATGACAGCCCCTGGGGGTACCGGGAGTGTTCTGGGACTGGAATGACAGGTCCCAGAGTGGAATCACAGCCCCTGGGTGTACCAGATGTGTCATGGGACTGGAATGACAGGCTCCAGAGTGGAATGACAGCCCCTGGGGGTAGCAGGAGTGTTCTGGGAGTCGAATTCCTTCTAAGATGATGCGATTACAGGGCCTTTTATATAGGAAGTGTGGTATTCTGGTATCCAGAGTTTTTAAGAATAATGTGCGAACTCCCTTATCCACTTGTGCACCAAAAGATAATACCAGGTCTGGTTCAAATATAGCTGTACCTCCTAAATATTCAAATCTGCAGTGGGAGGAAGGCACAGAAAGTCATTCAAAGATCCACGAACACTCCAGCTATAAAGCAAGCAGGACCAAGTCTCTGGCTTTAGATCAGGAGGAGCAGAGAGAAAGGTGTGGATTTGGGGGGAAATATCAACCATCCTGTAAATGAAGTCTCTCCACAATCCACTCAATGTATAGGAGTTCTTTACCCACACTCTGCAGCTTACAACGAATCACCCAAGGAAATAAAATCTCCTGGAACAGGCGCAGCATCAGCGTGTGATTACTCCAGGTCACTTGAACCTCAGGAAGGAGGAGTGTATGAGGAGGAATTAGACTTGAGGTCCAATAAGGTTATTTCATTTTCACAATGTTGGTCTAGGAACAATAAACCTCTTGCCACAGAAATCGCAGAAGAGGGACACAATTTATCACACCGGCCTGCAGCTTCATCATTTCCCCCATCATTAGCCTCCTCCCTAAAAACGGATTTTATGGAGGTGGAACAGAAGCCTTTACATCAGACGCCTCTCCTTCCTCTTCCACTATCTTCAGCCCAGTCATCCTCTACCCTACTCTCTGGGAAGAACGCCCCCCCCCCCCCACATAGTTTAGAGGACGAGCAAGGAACGACATCTACTAACTCAGGGAAGCCTCTGGAAGAGGTTAGTGTCTCATCAGACCCAAATAAACAGCCGGCTCAACAAATTGGAACTGACTGACTGTTAAAGGACTCTCCGCCCTATTTAAGTCCTGTCCTGGAATACTGCGGGTTGGAGGAACAAAGCCAATGATGTGGGTTTTCATCTTTACCTCAGAAGTTTTGACCTTATTATTTACAAGAAACTTGGATTCGTTCTGAAATTTTGTTGTTGTTGTTGTTGTTCAGTCGCACAGACCAGTCCGACTCTTCGCGACCCCATGGACCACATCACGCCAGGCCCTCCTGTCTTCCGCTGTCCTCTGAAGTTGGCTCAGCTATGTTCGCTGCATCTCTGACACTGTCTAACCATCTCATCCTTTGCCGTCCCCATCTTCTTTGACCTTCAATCTTTCCCAGCATCAGGGTCTTCTCCAGTGAGTGCTCCCTTCTCATTTGGTGGCCAAAGTATTTGAGCTTCAGCTTCATTATCTGGCCTTCCAGGGAACAGTCAGGGTTGATTTCTTTTAGGGCTATAAAACATATTCCCTGGCAGCCTATGAAGCTTACACTAGAGGGCGCTGTAGTGCAGGCATTGTAGTGTTTTGCTCTAACCAGCTTCAAATAGATATAACCCCCCTCCAAGATTGTGATCAAACGGCCCAGGCATTTAGGCTTAATTGTCAAGAGGCTTCATTAATAGTGGTAAATGTCTATATTCCACCTGATGCAGATAAATCCACAATGGCCCTTCATTGAAATCGCTTAACAGCATTCATTGAACAGCGAGAACTTAAGCTTCCCTTCATCAAACCTGCTAGTTGCCGGCAATTTTAACGCTAGAATAGGGAAAAAGGGAAAGATGGGTCATTTTGCAGAAAAAGAGGTGCAGGAGCTCATTAGCATAATTTATTTGCATAACTTATTTGCATGTGCCACACCCCTTGACATCACCGGACGTGTGTCAGAAGGCAACACCCACCGCTCAGGCTCCACTGGACTGTTTTGGATTGCTAGCTATGGGGGGTGGGGGAACGCACAGATCTGCCCTCACAGAGGAGGGGGAGCTTGTACCTGAAGACGGGGGGGGCCTCTGCAACTTACCTGGCTGCTTCTTGCTCCTCGTGGCCCGACTGAGGGATGCTGGGAAAGGGGCGGGGCTTGTTGCATGTGCCCACCCCCTGGGCTCCTCACTGCCGGAGCTCTGCTCCTGTGCGCTCCCGCAGGAAATGACCCCTGGGTTAAGCACACTTAACCACTACACCAAACTGGCAAAGATATCTGCCTGCCAGAAATGCTGTGCACAAAGCATTGAAACATGCCAAAACGAAGATTCTGTGATGCTTAGGAATTTCTAAGGCAGTGAGATAGGGCGATTCTGCATCCAACATTCGCTCCACATTTTCTCAACTGAGAGGAAAAAGTGCCGCTCAAAACCACATTCAAATACTTTGGGGGCAACACTGGTAATGACTGCAAAGTCACCCGTGAATGGCCATAAATCCAGGGCTATTTTGGGGCAGGAACGCACAGGAACGGAGTTCTGGCTGGCTCCTGAGTTGGCCACGCCCAGCAGGAACATATTAGCATAATAGGCCACACCCAACAGCAGGGACTCATTAGGATTGGCTACATTAGGGGTGTGTGGCCTAACATGCAAAGGAGTCCCTGCTACAAAAAAAGCCCAAGGTTTTGACAACAAACAAGGTAAACAGAATAAGAAGCAAAAGGTGGGTGTGGCTGGATGAGCACACTTCTGGTAACACAGGGGTGTGGCCTCATATGCTAATGACCTGTGCTGTCAGGGGTGTGGCCTAATAATATAATGAGTTTCTGCTTTTGGGTGTGGCCAATTATGCTAATGAGTTCCTGCTGGTCTTTTTC